GTTCAGCAGATAAAGGGAGTTTCATTTATCCTCACTTTGCATCTTATAGAATCACAGAATCATTGAATGTGTGGGATTGGAAGGGGCCTTTAAATGTCATCTAGTCCAGGGCTTTAACCATCCACGTGTAGTGACTTGGCTGAGCACCATGAAAGGTGAGTCCTACAAAACCCCAGGCAGAAAGTTGCCAGAAAAGGGAACTGTGCTTTTCAGTGAGCAACCCCTGTGACTGGCAAAGCCCTGACTTCAGAGGTCCTCAGCTCCTCCTGGCAGAGCTAACATCACCACAACACCTGGAGGCCCCTGTAACCAAACCTTGCCCAAGGGAGTGTGTTCTCCACCCCAGGGGCACTGCCTGGGTTGGCTGTTGATGACAATGATGGGTTTTAATGGGTTTGGTGGTGGGCTGACGATGACCACCTCACTGGTCCTGCTTCTTGACCTTGAGGTTGCTCCTCCAGCATCACCACCACCCCCAGTAAGTCTGCCCAAGCTTGCTCAGAGCTGGTTTATGCACAGGAACGTGCAGCAGAGACACAAAAATGGGCTCAAAAGAGTCTCTGCAGACACAGAGAGTCTGGCACTGTCTGTGTGAGATGGGACAAGGGCCCTTTTGTGTGCTGGGGACAGCCCACGACCCAGCTGACACACGATCCCTCAGTGAGCCCATCAGCCAGGAATCAAATTCAACTGCATTTTCCTCCCATCCCATGAAAGAGGCAGGTTGGATCTCTCTGTGCCCCCTGGTAAGGGAAACCCGTGGGAAACGGGGTCACAGGGAGATGAATCCAGGGCAGGAGCTCAGAGACTGGGAGAAGAAAAGGGTTGAGTAAAGGTGCCCTTGGAACAAGCACGTGGGTTGTGCCCTGGCCTGAATCTCACCATGGTTTTAGGTGGAAAAGGGCAATACCAGCCTTCTCAGCTAAAGGGTTCAGGCTCTAACCTGGTTCCACCAAGCTGCAGGATGGTGTGGACATGCTCCCTCTTGCAAACAAGCACCATCTTGACCCAGAGCTATCCTGAACCTACCTCCAATTCAGATGCTGCAGGGAAGGAGGCAGGGAGGGTCTCCTAGAAGCATGGGATACCCTGTTGGTATCCCATGGAAACACAGCACTACAGCATGAAAAAAGCACCTTGACAACTCACAGCTGATGGAGAAGGGGAGAAGTGATGCCTCCAGCCCATCCCACGAAGCTAATTACAGTCCCTGGATCCAACAGCCCACCCAGATGTGGCATGGACATGATCCCTGATGACATTTCCCCCATTTCATCGCCCTTCCCCTTGGAGGAGACCACAAGCAGAGCTGGCTGAGTCTCACACTTCTTGAGACCACAGGCAGAAACCACAAGCACACTCACTCCCTGGCTGATCTGCAACGTCTGCAAAAACCCAAATAGAACTTTGGGAACCACTCTGTGATGAACACCAGGAGACAGGACTCTCCTTGTTCTGGTTTTATCCCCAGGGTTTTGCTCTTCCTGCACTTGGTTCAGCTTTGGTCCCATCACCCTTCACCCTGTTACACTCAAGTCCTCAGCAACAGAGATGGAGAGAGGTGACAGTTCTTGCCCAGATCAGAGAACACTTTGCAGCTGCTCTTCTCCACAGCTTCTTCCTTTCCTCTAAGCTTTGCAGAGCTGTGGTCAATGAGACAGAGGTTTCCCACAGACCTGGCACCCGATTAAACAGGTTGGACAGGCCACCATGTCTGAGAGAAACCCCACCAGATGCCATATAAAGCACAGGAAAGGGTTACAGAGCTCCAAAGGTTTCAGCCTTGCATGTGGTCTCTCCATACCACTACATCTGCATCCCCTCCTGTCCCCTCACCTGTCACCCAGCTCTGCAGCACCGATGGGGGGAAGATGACCCCACCTTCCAGCCCATCACTCAGCAGCCTCCTGTGACCCCAGCCAGAAAACCCAACGAGGTGTTTGAAGCCCACCAAGGTGGGGAACCTCCTCCAGCCTGCCTGGGCCATCCTGCAGCACGGACGTGCCAAGATGCACATCCCCACCTTCAGGACAAGGAGCAAACAGGGCTCTCTCGTCAACTCAAACCGAACAATCAGGGAGACAAAAAACCCTTCACAAGGCAGCCTTGTCCTCACTGTCGTGCTCTTCCTCCTTCTCCTTCTGGAAATGCCAAAGCCTTTCTTTTTTCATTATTTATTTATTTATTTTCTCTTCTCAGTTTTGCCCAGAACCTCCAGGACAAACCCTGCAGTGTCTGGCGGGGCCGTGGCTGCTGCCCACCCCCTGGCCTCCAGCCCTGCTGCATCTGCAGTGGAGAGGACACGTCCAGCCAAGCTGTGTGAAGGCACAGAAGTGGCAGCTGCCCCCTGCTCTGCCCACGGGCCTGAGGGCACGAGCACCAGCTCCTGAGGTGACACATCCAGCCCCTGGAAGGGACAAGGGGAGGGAGGAAGCAACAGCGATCCCTGAGGATGCCAAGGAGGATCAATAATCATACAATCATATCATGGAATGGTTTGGGTTGGAAAGAACCTGGAAGATCATCCAGTTCCAACCCCCTGCATGGGCAGGGACACCTCCCAGCAGCCCAGGCTGCTCCAAGCCCCATCCAACCTGCCCTTCAACACCCCCAGGGATGGGGCAGCCACAGCTTCTCTGGGCAACCTGGCCCAGGCTCTCCCCACCCTCACAGCCCAGAATTTCTCCCTCCCATCTCAGCTCCAGCTCCCTCTGCCAGCTGGAAACCCTTCCCCCTGCTCCCATCCCTCCCTGCCCTTGTCCCAAGCCCCTCCCCAGCTTTCCTGGAGCCCCTTCAGGCACTGGAAGCTGCTCTCAGGTCTCCCTGGAGCCTTCTCTTCTCCAGGCTGAACACCCCAACTCTCCCAGCCTGGCTCCAGAGCTGCTCCAGCCCTCCCAGCATCTCTGGGGCCTCCTCTGACCTCTCTCCAACAGCTCCATATTCTTCCTGTATTAGGGACCCCTGAACTAGACTGAGCACTACAGGAGGGTCTCACTAGAGCAGAGTAAAAGGAGAGGGCCTTAAATTGTGCCAGGGAACGTTTAGATTGGAGTTTTGAAACAATTCCTTCCTGGCAAGGGTTGTCAGGCCCTGGCCCAGGCTGCCCAGAGCAGTGGTGGAGAAATCCCTGGGGGGGGTTTCCAAGCCCTGGAGATGTGGTGCTGAGGGACATGGGTCACTGGTGGCCTTGGCAGGGCTGGTTAATGGTTGGACTTAATGATCTTACAGCTCTTGCCCCACCAAACTGACTCTGTGATTCTCCGGGTGAGGAACCCTGCGATGAGAGGAACCCCAAGCAGATCAGTGTTGCAACCCTGGCACTCACGTGCTCTCAAATATATATATACCCACAGGCATGTGCATGTGATGCCAGCATCCCAAAAAATCTCCTGTAACAATATCTTCCATGACCAGGCAGGGGGTATTTGGATGAGTCAATACAAGGCAGGTGGGGGCTGTCACTGGAGAAGGTCAGGGGCAGCCTAGGGATGAGCAGCACCCAAGGGGACCACAGGTTGGATACTGAATCACTGAGTAAAGGGCTTTAATCCTGGTTTCTGCCCATTTTTCAGCATTCCCAGTGCCATCCCAGGGGTCCCCATCCATCCTGTGGTGTTGGGTGCTTGGGAACCCACCAGCAGAAGCAAAGTCAGGGAAGCAAAGAAAGCGCATCCCAATCACGGCTGCAATGAACGTGTTTCCACAGGGGGGTCGACAGGGTTTAATAGACCTTCCCAACTAATTAACCTGGATTAATTTACTGACAGGACCTCACAGATACAGCCCTTCATTCTGCCAGTGTGAAGCCCTGGGAAGCTGGAGGTGGAAACCAGGATCCATTTTCTGCATCTCCCCACCGACTCCTCTGCAACAGCCACGAGGAGAGCGTGGGTGTTTTCCCTGCCCTCATTTACAACCATTTTAGTAGACTCATCACAATCCTCCCTCCGGATCAGGAGCTACTGGAGATGCTG